CCCCCCCCCCAGCACATGGTTCTTGTGGGAGAATGGGACAAGGAGAGCAGCAGCAGGCAGAGCAAAGCGAAGAGGGGCATCCTGGGGTTTAGCCTCAGCTGCTCTCTGGGTCTGGTCCTGTGTGACTGGGCGGGCAGGCACTGGGGGCTTCAGGTATCAGTAGTATGGACACTGGCATGCAACCAGGACAGCATGTCATTCCCACAGGAATAACATAGAGGAAGGGTCCCAAGTTAAAGGCAGAATGGGGGCTTCTGTGGAGCTTCCTGTGCTCTACCTTAGAGAACCAGCCAGTCTTAGCTGGAGAAAAAGAAAGGCTGAGGCATCCTTTAGAGGTGGGGTCCTTGGGGAGGTGAGAGAATGGGCCTCTGAAAGGCCCAGTGGCCAAAGACCAGATGCCAGCCCGGCCCGCTGCCCCCAGGCTCCTGTGTGCCCACACCTTTTAAGTGCCAGCTTTTGTTCAAGGAGAGTGTTCCTTCCAAAAGATCCCTGGAGGCTGTCAGCAGCTGGGAACAGTGGGGTCAAGGGCCAGGGCCTTGAGCAGGCACAGGGCACGAGGTCTGGGTGACACAGTCACCTCCCTGGGCTACCCTGGGGAAACAAGGCCTTGTGCTGGGAGAAAAGAGTCTTTCAAGGCTATGAACTCAAGGACAGCTTGTGGCCTCTCACAAGGATGTGCTGTCTCCTTGCTACTCCGCATAGTGCCAGTCTCAATGGCTTGTGGACAGTGTCCACACCGTGGCAGTGTAAACTGTGCTTATGCAGCCCTGTGCTGCCGTTCCCATTTTGTAGATGAGGAGACTGAGGTTCTGGGGCTAAGTCATGTGCCAGGGTCCTGTAGCTAGGAAGTGCAAAACCGGGCTTGAATCCAGGTCAGTCAGGCACCCAAGCTGAAACCACTGTGCAGCTTTACCTTTATGCACACTTGTTTCCTCCTGTTCTCCCGCCGTCACTGGCCTCCAGACTCCGCTGCCACTTCTTGAGGGTACCTTTGGCTATCTGAGCCGTCGGGCCAGCTTGGGCTCCCGTGAGGTGGATCTGGTACCCTCAGACCCACAGGGTTTAGCCCTGCCTCTGCCCCAGCCCATGCTGCGTCCCCTGCATATGCTGCTGCCCTTCAGAGCCTCGGCTTTCTCCTCTGCAGAAGCAGGAGCAGATCTTCTAGCCTGAGGTTGCGAAAGGACTAGCGCTCTTCTTTCCTTGGGGACTCCTTGTTTCCCCCCAGCTGCTGAGGGCCTGGGTGCCCACCTGAGCGAAGACCAGTCACCTGTCTTCTCCCTCTCCCCTATAGGTGGTCCAACTGCTCACCTGTGATCTGCTACTGTCACTGCGGACAGCACTTTGGCAAAAGCAAGCAGGTGCCAGCCAGGCCGTGGGTGAGACCTACCACGCATCAGGCACTGAGCTGGCTGGCTTCCAGCGAGACCTGGGCAGCCTGCGCAGGCTGGCACACAGCTTCCGCCCAGCGTACCGCAAGGTGAGGCCCAGAGAGCTGGCAGGACATACTTGTGACTATGGAGTTGGTTGTGAGGTCACCTGCCAAGGCCCAGCATTGGGCTGAGTACACATACCAGAGTACCTACTGCATGCCCAGCCCCAGCGCAGCTGGGAGTGGTCACACTCTGCCTCCAGCCTGGAGCCACACAGCCACACTCGTCTGTTGGATGCTGGTTGGGAGGGTTCAGGTGCAGGTTGGGTAAGGAGCTCCTGTCCGGTCACCAGGGAGCAGCTCTGACTATGACTGCTTGTCAGAGTGCCAGGCTCTCCCTAGAACCACGTATAGAGAGTCCCCTTACTCCTTTCTCTGAGCCACTGGGGGCTTCGGGCCTGCTACCCACTTTTCTCCACATGGCATCTCCTTGGTCTTCGATGCAGACTGAACTGGGTCTCTGAGGACAGTTGTGTAAGTGAGCTCGCTGGATTGTCGTTTCCCTCTTTGTTTTTATTGCTGCTTAGAGTAATGTGCTGAGCCATTTTGTTGTTTGGTTGGTTGCTTGGGGGGAGGGTGGCTTGAGACCCGGTTTTACTCCAGCTCAGGCTAGCCTCAAACTCATGACAGTCCTCCTGCCTCAGCCTGAGTGCTGTGATTACAGGCGAGTGTCACCATGCGTGTATTGTGGTATATGTTGCCCAGGCTGCCATCAGATTCCTGGCCTTGAGCTGCCCTCCTGCCTGAGCTTCCCATAGCTAGAACTACAAGTGTGTGCCATTTGTACCTGGCTTGTATTAAACATTTTTAAATATGTTGTATTTTTCCTTGACGGGGTAGTGTGTATAATATATAGTAATCAAATCTAGCCATTCCTTGCCTCATTTATCATTCCTTTGTGTTAAGATCATTATATTTTACCTCAATTGTTTTCTAAGAATTTTAGTTTGATCTGTATCAGGAAGGGTATAGGTTGTATTGGAAGGAAACAGAAAGGAGGCCTCAGGATGTGGCTGCTGCCATGGGCCATGTGCCTTGCCCCAAGGTGCTGGGACATCTTCGCATTGTCACCCCAGCTACTGGGCAGCCACCGAGATGGATACTATACACAGAATATCAACATAGAATAGCCCTTACCAGAAAGAGAAATGTGGCCCTGCGTGGATGCCTACTGTGGCCCGCCCTCCGGCCTGCTGTCAGCATGGCTGGCATCAGGAGATGCCTCTCGAAATAACCTCTCTCTCTACCCCACTTCTTCCCGAGGGGTCACACTGCCTTCTGGCAGCACTGAGGGCTGAGACGGGGCTGTTAACGCTTGTGGTGCTGGGATTGCACCCAGGACCTTTGCCCTGAGGTATATCCTCAGCCTGATGTCTATTTTTTATTTTGAGATAAGGTCTCAGTAAATCCCTAAGTTTCCCAGGCTGGGCTAGAAACCTGCAATGGAAGGGCTGTGAGGATGGCTCAGTGAAATAAGCGCTTCCCTGGCAAGTGCAAGGGCCTGAGTTCAATCCTCGGTTCCGCAAAAAACAAAAAAAGACTGAAACCTGCAGTGCTTCTGCCTTAGCCCCCCAGAGCTCTGGGATCACAGGTGTGTGGCACCACACTCAGTTTGTATTTAGGATTTTTAAGAAGCTAGATACCTAGTGATTCCTGTTTACCACAGGTACGCTGACTTCACCTCAAAGCCTCTGTATTCTGTCCTCTCTGAAGAAACCAGAGGAAACAAGGCACTGTATGTGGTACCAGCCCACGGGGGGCTTGACCATGTTCCCTGTACTTCACCAGGTGTTCCTGCACGAAGCCACCGTGCGCCTAATGGCAGGAGCCAGCCCCACTCGCACACACCAACTGCTGGAGCACAGCCTGCGCCGCCGCACTACTGAGAACTCGAAGCATGGTGAGTCTGGAGGGAGACCAGCAGGGCCAGCTCAGAGCTCCCTCTGGAGAGGTTGCTGCTGCTCACGGCCCTGTGGGCGCCCAAGGAGCCCCAGGCTTGTATGATGGCTGAGTGGTGGGTGTTAGCTGAGTAGTAAAGCTTCCAGCCTGGAGCAGGATAGAGACCTGGTGAGGCTGCCTCCAGCCCATGAGGGTTAGGTGACAGCGGCTGCTTGAGTGGGAGCAGCACCTGCACATGTCTCCTCTTTCCCACAGGAGAGGTGGACGCCTGGCCTGGCCAGCGAGAACGGGCCACTGCCATCCTGCTGGCATGTCGCCACCTTCCTCTCTCCTTCCTCTCCTCCCCGGGCCAGCGAGCCGTGCTTCTGGCCGAGGCTGCCCGCACCCTGGAGAAGGTGGGCGACCGGCGCTCCTGCAGCGACTGCCAGCAGATGATTGTCAAGCTAGGCGGCGGCACTGCCATCGCAGCCTCCTGACAGCCAGGCATGGCTCACCCCCTGCCTTTGTCTTACTGTCTCCCCCAGGACCCCTGTCTCCCAGACTGTCTCCCTCTGCTCTCCTCTTTGAGAGCTGTGGGGATGGCCTCACCTTCTGAGCTGCTAGCAGCAAGGCTTTGGGACCACTGCAGGCCAGAGGGCCCGAGCAGAGTTCCCCAAGCTGTGAGACACCTTGGTGCATGCTCTCGTGTGACCGCAGGCAGATGGAGTGGTGCCCTCCCTGGGAGCCCCTCAAAGACCCTGCACATCCCCCATCTGCTTTCTCATTTTTTACAGGCTTTCTCTCTGGAGGGCCAGGTCTCTGTGCCGTGGTACAGTGCCCAGCACACCCTCCCCCTTTTTATATGAGTGTTTTTATACCTGTGTGCTTGGGTCTGCTGTGATGCAGGGCAAAACTGCTGTGGCACCCTGTGTCTCCCCAGGTTTGCACCCTCCACTGTGTGTGACTTAACAGTATAGTGTGCTGCTGTCATTCCATGGGACAGCAGGGAAGGAAGGAAGGAGCCCAGCCTGGGAGGTGCTTGGGAAGCAGAGGTAACCCTGGGTATGGGTAAAGTAATGTTGGCATTATTTTTTAATTTTTTACAAAAATAAACGGTATCTTATTTAATTGTCCTGTTCTTCCCACTCCCCGCCCCCTGGGACATTAGTCCAAGCTCAGGGTAGGCCCGGGGCTGGGGGGAACAAAGCCACCTCTTGGGCCTGGGGACCAGGGGTCTTCAGTACAGCTTGGTTGCCTCCTACCCCTACCCTAACTCCTACCTCCATTGCATATTTTCATTCCTAATTCTTGTCTTGAAAATGAGCCAAGGTAGCAGGGAACAGCCCCAACCCTCCCCAGTGACATGCCTCTTCTGGCTGGGGGCCAGAACTGAGGTCCCTCCCCTTGATGGGGGATCAGGTCAGGATCCCCTGGCACAGTGCCTCCCTGGTGATTTCCCCCAGGGCTGCAGCCCTTGTGCCTCTGGAGGGGTACAGTACTTTTTAACCCTTGGAACTGCCAGGGGCAGGGGGTGGCTGCACAGCAGGGCACCCTTGGTCAGCTTGGACCCCACGCATTCTGTCTCTCACCCCTTCCCCGCCACTGTAATTTATGCACCCTGCCCACTAGGGCAGTGCAGCCCTTGTGTCACATGTATATACTGTGCCTTTTCTCCTTACTGGTTTTATTTGGGGGGGTTGGTTTTTCACTGAAAAAGGGGAATACATGGACGGTTTTCTTAATGTTCAATCATTACCATGTCCTGGACATTGGTTATTCAATAAACACCGATTGGTACCACCCAGCACCAGGTGTGTGAAGGTCTGTTGTGTGACTGCTGTGGTGCAGGCCGAGGGGCTGCGCAACTTGGCTGGCGGTGGACAAGGACCCAGAGCCTCCCAGTACCTTCTGCAGGACTGTGCTTGCCCACCATTGTACCCGGCCTCTTCTTCCCATGCCTGGTACCCACTCTCTCCCATGGACAGATGAGGGCCTGGCATGAGTTGCTGGCAGTGCTGCTGGGGCCAAAGGTCACTGCATCCAGGTTCCACCATGTTCCCTGGACATACAGCTGGCAGCTCACCTGGTGGCAGCAGTTGGCTGGGAGCTGCGTGGCCCTGTCCTAGTTTCCCTTTCCTCAACCGCTCCCTGGCCTCAGCCTGCACTTCACTTACACATGGGGCTACCGATCCCACAGTTGCACAAGCTCCCTTGATAACACAGGAAGTACCAGTATGTGCTAAATGTCTAGTGACGCTTCAGGGGTCCACAAGGAGCAGCTGGATGGTGTGCTGAGCCTGGCAGAGCTGAGTTTGGGGATTCCTTGTGAGAGCAAGCTTGGGACCGCATTGTACAGCTAGCTGCCCTGCTCCCCTCCCTGAGAAACACCTCAGAGCTGGTCACTTCCTGAGGAGGAGCTGTGCTCGACCACATTCCTCAGGAGCAGAGCAGCCAGGAGGGGCCCGCTGTGTAGGTCCTGTCCACTGTCATGCAGCCACCACTCAGGGCCTCCAGGAATCTGCACACCGTTAGCACCAACGCAGCTTTTCTCAACCGCAGGCCCAAACAGACCCCACACAGCCTGGCGCAACAGTATGCACTTTCCTACAAGCCATCAAGGTAGGACCATGGGCTCTGGGGTCTGCTTTGGAGCTTCTGGGCCCTGGAAGGTGTGAGGCCGCCCATACCCTGGAACCAGCTCCCCATCCCACCAACACAGCTCACACCTTCCCTGCCCTCCCCTACACTGCCCTTTCCCCAGAGCCAGTTTGGTAACCCTGGTAAGGTGAGCTACTTACTGCTCAGACACCCCTTGGAGTTTCTACGAGGTCTGCATGGGAAAAAGCAGCGCCTGGTAGCCAAAACTGAATCACCCCTGGCTGGGTGGCGTGCATGTGGCTCCCTCCCCTCCCCCAGAGCAGCTCCTAGAAGCAGGAGGGGCACCTCTCCTGAGCACCAGATGTCCACAAGGCCCACATGCATTGGGGGGTGGCCCTGGGCCAACCTGGCCAAGCAGCCTGCAGAGCAGGCTATGTCAGTGAAGATCAGCCAAGCCAGGCCCACAAGCAATGTGGGTGACTGGCTGGATGCTCACCTCTTAGAGGCTCCAGTCAACCTCTGTACCACATGGCTTGGGACCCAACAGCCCTCCCCGGCCAGATCTGAAAGTGGCTGAGGTGTAACTGCCCCCCTCCCAGGGCTCCTACTGGTGCGGGCATTGAGCCTGGCACTCAGCCCTGGCCCAGGCACCCCTGCCTGCACGCTCAGGAGCAGGCCTCTGTTCTTGCACATGCTGTGCCCTCTGCCTGCACTGCCGTCTGTCCAGTCAATGACAATTGTGCCACTGGCGCTGCTTGGGGCAGAAACCACTTAGGGTTTATTTACACGGGGAGTGAGAACTGTTGGCCCCAAGGCCAGGAGCACTGGCTCCAAGGCCTCCAGTCCAGGCGGGGAGCATCGGGGCTCCAGGTGCCCCAGGGGGAAGGTCCCTGCCTCACACGGTGACCTCAGCTTTGCTGTTGGTGCTTAGGTGCCACGGCCCGCGGCCCGCACCGCTGTACAGGCCGGGGTGCTGTGCGTTGAAGACCTCAGGTAGCTTCTCCACGCTGAACTGGCGCCGGGGTGCGTGGCCCAGCCGACGGGTTGCGGGAGAAGCCTGGGCCACGGGAAGGCCTCGAGGGGCCGGCCGGGTGGGGCGGCCAGCGGTCCACGCCCCATATGGGCCGGGCGGAGCAGGGCAGGCAGGAGGCGCGTACCCTGGCGGCGCCCAGGGACAGGCGTCCAGCAGCGCAGGCAGGTCCTCGGGAGTCCGCGGCGCCCGAGCTGGGAGGGTCCTCAGGGCCGGCTCGACAACGGGAAAACGCGGGTAGAAGTCCTGCGGCGCGGCCTCTACAGGGACAGGCGGGTGGGCGGGGTCAGCGCAGGTCTTGGGGCACCTACTGGCTGAGCCTGGCAGTCTGGACGAGATCAGGTCTGCACCCGACCCAGAGCCGTGAGCTGAGCTCTGCTCCTTGGGACACTGGCGCACCACGAGACCCAGACTCTCACCTGCAGCCTTCAGCGCAGCTGTCTTGAGCGTGGCGAACTTGGCATAGTCGGGCTGCAGTGTCACGCTGCCACCGCCCAGCAGCCGAGGACCATGCGGGGGTCCAGGGGTGGCAGAGCCCAGGGGCGCGTTATTGAGGCGTTTCTTGTCTGCAGGGAGGGCAAATTAGATGAGACCCCACATGGACTCAGCACTCCCCACCTGCGCCCCTGCCCCTCCAAAGTGCAGCTTAGTGGAAACCCAGGGGACACCTCTCTAGCGGGGACAGGGTGAAGTCTGGCTTTGAGGTCTAATGTCAGGTACAGGGGAACAAGGTCTGGCTCAGAAAACCACGAACAATGGCAGCCAGCCCTGGGACTGCTGCCCTGATGGATAACTCAGGTTGGCTGGCCCAGGTGGGGGTTGTCTGGGGACAGAGCAGCAAATCCTGAATCTGGAGCCTTTCGAGTAGAAGCGAAGCTCCTGAAACTGAAAGTTCCAGGGGGCCCTCTCCACCAAGGGCAGTCAGCCCTTGTCCAGCCCCCATTCAGACACCTGAAGAGGCAGGCAGCTCTTTCTGTCTGGGAAGCAGCAGCTCAGAGCCTCCACCCCCAGCCAAGCAAGCAACCTCTTATCCCCACCCCATACCCCGTTCCATACCTGCTCTGGACCCAGCGCCCCTCACCTGTGCTGTTGTGGGGGGATTCCCGGGGGAAGCTGTCGCCCATCTGCACCTGGACACAGCTACCCAGGGGCGGGCCCAGAGGTGGGGGCAGAGGTTCCTGGGGCCCCGGCTGCTTCAGAAGTTCTGTCAGTGTCCTGCGGGGACAGAATGATGAGGAGCAGCCCTATCTGCCTCCTCCCATCAGCCAAACTCTGGTCTTGCTCAAAGGCCATCAGCCACCACTGATACACTGCATGACCCTGGGCAGTTCTTCAGCCTCTCTGCACTCCCTCAGTTTTCTCCTGTTATTGACCTTTGGTGTCCAGTTTCTCCTACCAGACGAGTTTGAGACCTATCAGTGTCCCTGAGGGCCCCAGGATGGCCACCTCCCTGCTCAGGTCAGGAAACTCGAACTGGGGCTCTCTTCACTTCCCCCACAGCACATACTCCTGAGCCCCAACTCAACCTTCCGTCATCCCAGCATAAGCTTCTGCTTGTTTGTGGTGTCCTTTCCTCCCACTCCTGGCTTCTTCCATAACCTCCTATTCACCTCAGAGCCCCACTGAAGGAGAGGCCCCTTTACTGCTCCCTATTGCCCTTCCTGCTGCCTGCATGGGCCGGGACATAGAGGACAAGGGGAGCCCAAAGAAGTGCCCCTGGCAGCCCAGCACCCAGAGGCTGTGTGACCTTGGGCAGCTGCTTCCCTGGGTACCCAGGATACCCAGCCCCCACCCAGCTGTGACAGTGTCTCATTGAACCTTCCCTCACACACAGCCAAACTCAGCTTTCAGCCCAGCTGCCTGCAGCACCCAAAAACCCATGATTTTCTCCCACTCGATCTGACCCTCCTTCTGGGGCTGGGACTGTGGCTGATTCACTGGGACACCTGGGGTGGCCACGGTTTGGCTGGAGGGTGATGAAGTCTGCAAGTGTTTGATTTCTGCAGCTCACTCTGCAGTCTCATCTCTGGGCAAGCTCTGACCAGGAGTAACTGTCACACCCCCGGGCCTTTGCACAGGCTTTCTCCAGGGGCTGACTTTGGTGCCCCACATTACCCTCACAGAAGCATGCCCTGGCCATCAGCCCTGGCATGACAGAATGAGGGTGAGACTTGCAGAATGTGGGCAAGCCTTCAAAACACCCCTACCCATGAGCCCAAGTCTGATTTGAGGTGTCACCAGAGGGGGGAAGATTCAGCATGCCTGTAACCCAAGGAAGAGACTGGCCAGTCATAACCAAATCTACAGATGAAGAGGCTTCCAAGGCAACAGGTCAGCTCGACTCCTCCAGCCACCCTCACACTATGGTGGCCCTCAGCTTCCACTGCCCCTCCCTGCCCAAGGACACTCCTCCCCTCCCCAGCGACCCTTGCCCAACACAAAGGACTCCAAACACAAGACAGCTAGCTCCTGGCCTGTGCCCAGGACCCCTGCATGTCCTGCAGCTGGAGCCACAGCCCTAGCTCTGGCCACCAGTGCCCAACTCCAGAGGGTGGCTAAGAGGCCTGGGGACAAGGAAGCCCTCAGCCCTGGGGCCCTGAGGCCCTGAGGCCCAGGAAGTGAAGCATCCATATCTGGTCCACCAAGCCACTGGGCTTCTCTTCTAAATGCCAGCCTGTTGCACTTAGTAGCATCAGTTGCTGCCCGTCCAAAGGACTGGGAGCTGGTGGATAAGGCGGGCACAGGAAAAGCTCAGGAGCACAGGAGTGCGTAAGTGTGGGCTGGGTTCCAGCACCAAGGCCAGGACACAGAGTCCCAGAGATCACATCTGACTGAGGAAGGGAGCCTGGCTTCTATGGCTCCTGCCTGGTATCAAGCTCAGAATTTAAAATTAAAAAAAAACAAAAAACAAAAAACAAAAAACCTCAGAATTTAGCCAACACAGCAGGTTTGGCGGTGCACACCTGTGATCCCAGCACTCTGGGAAACTAAGACAGGAGAATTGCAAGTTTGAGCCCAGCCTGGGCAACTTAGAGACTCTGTGAGACCCTGTCTCAAAAATTAAAAAGGGAAGAGGATGTAGCTCAGTCCAAAGGCCCTGGACTCAAGCAGCCCCAGTACCAGGAAAAAAGAAACAAAAAGGACTATCAGCACCTGATTGGTCAGCCCCACGCCAGTCCCTTCTAACCAGACGACCCCGACCTTCGCCTGCCAGCTATTGAGCAGGCAGAGGGGCTTCTGAACCCACCCCCAAGGTCAGGCCTGAGTCACTGCTAGCTGAGGGAGGAGAGGGATGGAGGGGGAAAGGGAGAGGGGGGATCGGAGAAACAAGAGCGAGTCAGGCTTCTCTTCCCTCTGCCTTCAACCCCCATTACTGAGTCAGCCCCGCTCCCTTGCCTGGCCAGTGGGACTCGAGTCCGGCCTCCTCCCCGGGCACTAACCTTGTAACCTCTGCAGAGGAGGCTGGAACCGCGGGAGGGTGGCCCAGCGCCCAGCGCCCTGCGCCTAGGCAGCCGGAAGGTCAAGGGGAGACAGCGATATATCAAATGTCCACTCGGAGGAGAAGTGGGGGTCAGGGGAGGCGGCGCCATGGGATTAAGCCAGGAGAGGGGGCTGCGGAGAGGCCCAGACCCCGAGCGGGCCCGGAGGGCCGTCGGTGCGCAGCGGGTGGCGGCGCTCGCTCACCTGGTCACTGTGCGCCGCGCGCGCGGGCTGCGAGCCCTCTCCAGGCCCAGGCGCGCCCCGATGCCGACCAGCACGAGCAGCGCGGCGACGCCGCACACCGCGTAGACGGCCGTGTGGCTGCGCTCGCGGCCGGGGTCCCGAGGTGCGGCGGTGTCGCGGGCGCGGGCCGGCGGGCGTCCGGTCTGCACCCAGGCGGGCGTGTCGTAGTTGGAGCAGCGGCTCTGGTCCAGGCGGCGCGGCCCGTCGTGGCAGCAGAAGCGGTAGCCGCACGTGCCGCAGCAGAAGCTGTAGGCGCCCGAGCTGCAGTTGAAGGGCGGGTCCCACTGGCCCATCACGTCGTAGTAGCCGCGGCAGCGGTC